TTTTTAAAGACATGCAAAAATAACTATCTTATGGAGTTTACAACATATATTGAAATAAAATATATGACACAGTAGTTACAAAAGGAGACTAAAAGGAAGTATATTGTTGTAAAATATGTCTAACAATACATAAATGCATACAATTAATATGAAATGGTACAATATTCTAAATGTAGTAAGTTAAGGGAGCATATTGTAAACCTAGAGAAAAGCCAATGGAGGAAATTAAATGGAATACTAAAACATACTGAAGTAATCCAAAAATAGAAAGGAGGCAAAGAGGAACCAAAAACAAATTGTGGAAGCCAGCTGGGAAGAAGGGGGACTTAATTCCAATTTGAAAATAGAAACTCCAAGAGATCATCACTGTCACCCTAAAACAAGCTGAATAAAAACCCATCAGAGACTGAAGACTTGGGGAAATCTAAATCAACTCCAAACAGTGAGAAGTGCATTTTAAAAGAGAAAATATCCTCAGCTGCCATCATCCCTGACTGAAATAGAGGTGGGAAGAGAAATCTGCCACAGACAAGGGTTAAAGAGAAACCATACGTGGACATACTCCTGTAGAACCCAGAGGATCCGTAGGTACAGAAAGACTGTACTATTAATAAATCCATCTGCTCAACAGACACACACACACACGTGCACACACACACACACACACACACACACTCTGTCCCACCAACCTTTACCAAAAATGAGGGCAAGAAAAGAGAGCGAGAGCTGAAATAATCTCCTCGTGTACTCTAGGCTTCCAGCAAGAAAAAACCTTGAGGACAGGTGATAACAGAAAAGCCAAGAGAAACTTCTCAGAGGCAAGACCCACCTTCACAGAGTGCAGGGCAATGATAGTCAACCTTTATAGGCCAAGGATGGAGCAGTAGGGCTGAAAGAGCTCTCAAGGCACAGAAAGCCAGAAACCAAACGAGAGCAAAGAGAATTCCTCAGCAACTGACCCTGCTGGCAGTGGGTCTTTAAAGCAGGAAGATACTTCCTATAATTCAAAAAGATTTGGAATAGCCCATAAATACATGAGAAGGTGCTAAACAACATTAGTCAAGTGAGATACATGCAAATTAAATAAAATTTTTTAAAAATGCAATACTACTTCACACCCACTATGATGGCTAAAAAAAAAAAAAAATAGGCAACACCAAATGTTGGCATGAATGTGGAGCAACTGCACCTCTCACTTATCACTGAGAGAACAGTGTAAAACGGCATAACCACTTTGAAAACTAATGGGCAAATTTTAAATATTGGATATAAAATTATATTCAAAAGCCTTTCAAGAACAACAAAGAAACATGGTAAAATGTTAAGTCTTTTAAGAGAATATAACATGACAAATCTGCATATAATGGCATGGACTATGGAGAAGGGGCTTACCAAAAGGTATCAACTGGTACCTACTGTAATCAAATAGGTACAACATCACAGACCCTCGCATGTCTTTCCCACATTTAGAATACTCTCCCATAGTATGTCTCCAAACATAATCCAACATTTAAGGGATGTATACTTAGCCCCTTACATACTTAAATCATACCATCTGAAATCATCTCATGAGATGTATAAAGTGAATCAAATAATTAGTAAGATCTAGTTCACTGCTACTCACGGTGGTCAAGAAAGAATAAAGCCTATATACATGCCTCAATCAAAAGTTCCTATCCAAAATGTATTAACTAGTAATGTATGTAATTTTATTCAAAACAAGCAAAAGCAAACACAAATAGAAACCAAGCTAGGAAAATAAAATCACAAGTATATGCCTCAAATTTATTGCGTAACAGATGAAATATAAATAAATTATATGGAAGTAGTCATGAAACATATACCTTTCACTGGTTATTAGGAAGCAGTCAGTGATATTAGAAGTAAATCCTTAACCTCTAAGAATATATAATGGAAGGAAATGACCATATTCTACCACGTTTTAATATTACAGGAAAAGAATATTACAACACACAGAACAATGGTTTATCACAGAATTGTTTTTTGTCGGGGGGGTGGGGACAGAGTCTTACTCAGTTGTCCAGGCTGGAATGCAGTTCAGTGCAGCCTTGATCTGCTGGGCTCAAGCAACTCTCCTGCCTCAGCCTCCCAAGTAGTTAGGACTAAGGCATGTGTCACCACATGTGGCTAATTTTTTTTTTATTGTTGGTTTTTAATAGAGATAAGGCATCACTATATTGCACTAGTTTCAAACTCCTGGCTTCAAGTGATTCTCTTGCCTCAGCTTCCCAAAGTGGTGGGATTACAGATACGAACTACCATGACCAGCAGAATTGTACTTTTTGCATATTCTTTAAATGTATGTTAAAAAAAAAGTTCATAAATACAGCAATATATTCATGCATCTTGGTTGCATAACATATCTTTTTTTTTTTTTTTTTTTGAAACAGAGTTTTGCTCTTTTTACCCAGGCTGGAGTGCAATGGTGCGATCTCGGCTCACCGCAACCTTCGCCTCCTGGGTTCAGGCAATTCTCCCGCCTCAGCCTCCTGAGTAGCTGGGATTACAGGCACGCGCCACATGCTCAGCTAATTTTTTGTATTTTTAGAAGAGACGGGGTTTCACCATGTTGACCAGGAACCTCTTGACCTCGTGATCCACCCGCCTCGGCCTCCCAAAGTGCTGGGATTACAGGCGTGAGCCACTGCACCCGGCCGTATAATATATCTTATATAAGTTTCATGTATGAAAATGTTAGGAAAATCTTAAGTATTGTCTTTACTGATACATTTTCTAGGCAATCTTCAAAAGAGTATCTCATTTTCTGGGTATCTGAACGCACAAACTTGATGAAAGCTAGAATGATGAAACACCACTGGCCTGATGATATACAGTAAACTCATAGGAAAGAACATATTCCTATTTTGTGTCAAAAAATTTATATTTAGTTAGAAAAAATAAGACATTCACTATATAAGGGTAAAAAAAATATTTTTTAAAACACAGTCACTGCTGACCAATGCCATTTTTTTGCTTTTGTTTTTGAGGCAGAGTCTCACTCTGTCACCAGGATGGAGAGCAGTAGCGTGATCTCGGCTCACTGCAACCTCTGCCTCCAAGGTTCAAGCAATTCTCCTGCCTCAGCCTCCTGAGGAGCTGAGACTACAGGCGCATTATCACCACACCTGGCTAATTTTTGTATTTTTAGTAGAGATGGGGTTTCATGATGTTAGCCAGGCTGGTCTCAAACTCCTGACTGCAAATGATCCACCCACCTCAGCCTCCCAAAGTGCTGGGATTACAGGCATAAACCACTGCACCTGGGCTGACTGGTGCCATTTTTATACACAGTATTTAATCTATATATTAAGGCCAGAACATAAAGTCTAAAAATTAATCCGTTAGTTTAATTTAAAAATTTCTGTATTTGGGCCGGGCGCGGTGGCTCAAGCCTGTAATCCCAGCACTTTGGGAGGCCGAGGTGGGTGGATCACGAGGTCAAGAGATCGAGACCATCCTGGCCAACATGGTGAAACCCCGTCTCTACTAAAAATACAAAAAATTAGCTGGGCATGGTGGTGCGTGCCTGTTAATCCCAGCTACTCAGGAGGCTGAGGCAGGAGAATTGCCTGAACCCAGGAGGCTGAGGTTGCGGTGAGCCAAGATCGCGCCATTGCACTCCAGCCTGGGTAACATGAGTGAAACTCTGTCTCAAAAAAAAAAAAAAAAAAAAATTTCTGTATTTGAAAAAACTTTGCAGAACGTATTTGTACAATCACAAAGAAATATCATAGACTTTTTCATTCATGGGTTTAACATGCATAGTTTTTAACATTCTCATGTAACCCTGAAGTTCTATGACAGGTAGTAATTTGTAATTTTATTTGAGTCACATATTTCATTTAGATACACTAAAAGGCTGGTTGGTATTCCTGAAAGAGTAAATATAATATCAGACAAATTAACATCTGTATCTCTCTCTGCTCATTCTTGAATACACAGTAACTTTAATATAATACCTGAAGTATACAATTTTTATTTTTTAATTATCATCTTTTTTAATATGGGAAATCACATATGACAGTGGAATTTGCAAATATGTGGATTCACAAAGCAAGGTCTCTGGATGTTCCTCCCAAGAAATCAAAGGGTTTAAGGGTGGCTCTCAATAAAATGCAAGATTTTAGTACTATCTATCTATAAAGTACATCATAATCTACTTACATGTTCAACAGGAAGAACTGACAATTCTAAGGTTCAAATTTAACTGGTTCTACTAAATTTTAGCGTGATTCCTTTTAAAATCAAAGTTAACGTATATTATGTCAGGTGTGGTGACTCACGCCTGTAATCCCAGCACTTTGGGAGGCCGAGGCAGGTAGATTACTTGAGATTAGGAGTTTGAGACCAGCCTGGCCAACATAGCAAAGCTCTGTCTCTACTAAAAATACAAAAATTAGCTGGGTGTGGTGTCATGCGCCTGTAGTCCCAGCTACTCAGGAGGCTGAGGCATAAGAATCGCTTGAACCCGGGAGACAGAGGCTGCAGTGAGCTGAGATCACACCACTGCACTCCAGCCTGGGCAACAGAGCAAGGCTTTGTTTAAAAAGAAAAAAAAAAAGTTACTGTACATTAGCTACCTCACTGGAGAATAAGAAAACATTGTATGTATCTGACTTTTGGATAGTAAAATAATTATATCATGCAAAGCTCACCTAAATTCTCTTATGTGAAATTCAGAACTGAAGCAGCTCTTCGTACAAATATTTTGCCAGAGCAGCAATTCAAAGCGATATTGATTGCAATGCACAACTGTACTAATTGTAGCCCTATCTAAAATATGTTATCTTCTTCCATTTGCATCAGAAAAAAGACTCTTAGTAATATTTCACCAACATTCCTTAGTTTCATCTTCAAACAAATGAACAACTACTTACAAATACATCTATAGCCCACTGCCTAGCCATACAGTGAGAAACATACATAAATATAGACTTACAATAGATAAGAAACTATTGTGTGCTATAGATTATGATTACCTGGAGGTAGGAATTGCAGCTGGTTATTAGCCAATCGAAGATGACGTAAAGCTCGCAGACGACCAATTTCTGGGCAAACAATTTCTAAGGCATTGTCACTAAGATCCAGACATTGGAGTTTTACAAGGGACCCAATGGCTTCAAAGAGAAAAGGAGAAGGCAAAATGAATTTGACTCAAGTATTACATCAAATCTTTAATGCAAGTATTCCAAGTTAAAATATTTTACTACTTAACAGCTTTGTATCAGCTGCTCACAAAATAGTAAAAACACAGATCAAACTAAGTTTATAAAAGTGATAAATACTTCTACCTCAAGATAAAATATAACTTAAAATACAGCACAAATAAAAACATTAAAACTAAAATAATTCAAGAAATGATACACAGGTACTTTTTTATCTGACCAGAATTCTTAACTGGATTTATTAAATTTAGAATTTACTTTATTATCTACATAATAGCAATTTATCTAATAATAGTACACCTAACCATTATAACCATTTTAGACTTATTCATTTAACTACAGTTCTTAAAAGAACTTATTAGAAAAAAAAAGTTTTAAAACTAATAAATTAAGGGTTTCTTAAAATTAAAATTTGTTGTATTACAAAGCAAAGCTTAAATTATATTATCTTCTACCTAAAAATTCTAAGTAAACGTACCTTCTGGTACCACAACTATGTTATTTGAGTGCAGGTATCTAGGAAGGAAAAAGAAAAAAAACAGCCATTATCATCAGGCACTCTTGCCAGATCAGTTTATAAAATGCTCACTTAGAAATTTATCAAATATAAATAGGCCGCAACTTTCACACCCTACTCTAATGCATCAACATACAATACATGGCTATCACAGCTAACTAATAATACTTTGAGAATAATATTTTGTATCAGAATTGCAAATATTAAATATATTTACTGATTCAGTTATTTTAAAATAAAAGCATACATAATAAATAAACTATAAGGATTTTTTAACTTCATAACACAAATTACTAGTTTTTCCAGTTCATTTTCTTCAGGTTTTTAAAAATATACTTGTGTGAAGAAAAATCAACATCTATTGTGTAAAGGAAGATGAGCTTTTCATTTCTATAAAATAACTTTACAAAATAAGATATTTCTAGCTAGCATGCATACGGAGAACCAACAACGGAGAGATTAAACACTCATCATTTACAGTGTCTGTAGAAATACTCAACTGCAAAGGTATAGAATTTATTTCATGGCAAAAGAAATTTTGTAACAAGAAATTAGCCGGTTCTCTTAAAAATTTTCTTTTTCACAGAGGCTGAGAAGTCTAGCAAGCCTAAGTAACACTTTTCCCACTACAATGTCTTTAGCACACTCTGGTGGAGACATCCTGCAATCAGTAACCAACTACTCAGAGCAAAACAAGTGACTGCTGGAGATCATATAGCAATAGTTTAAGAAAATAATTTACATCATTGATTAAGAGACAAGAGAACTAGATTTTAGTAAACTTTATTTTCAAACCTATGGTTTTACTGTATTTTAAAAATAAATATTTATAAAGTATTTAAAAATAGAATTTAGTTTTCTTCTGCATTTTTAAAAATCTAATATTGAATGTTAAAATGTCAATAAACACAAAATAAGAAAGAAAATTAATTATTTCATAAAGATTATTTTATGTTGAATTAAATCAATTTTGTAGAAGGTTAACTAACCTGCTGGAATAACACAATTTAAATAAGTCCACCATTTACTCTATGATATATTTCATTCCTTGCTCTGTGTATATGAAATGATTACACATTTTAAAATCAATACTCTTTAAACATTAATTTTAGGAAGGAATACCCAAATCAAAACAGAAAACAGGTTTAAAAATTTTTTTCAACAAAATACTTGCCTCCATTCAAGTTCTGGCTATAAAAAAAGACCTTAAAATGTCCAAATCAAAATATGAAGTAAAGTACCCACTATTATCATTAGAATTTTTCAAATAGACTTTAAAACATTAAATTTATCTACATATAATGAAGATGCTGTATGAAATAATACACAGGCTGCCAAGGAAGCATCGTTAAAGTCTGTCCTCCCACTGCCATCATGTCTATGTCGGTCTCCCGAAGAGCCCAAACAGCTATGTAAGCTCTTCACTGGAGGCCTGAGCTTTGAAACAACCGATAAGAGCCTGAGGAGCCATTCTGAGCAATGGGGAATGCTCGCAGACTGTGTGATCATGAGAGATTCCAACACCAAGTGCTCCAGGGGCTTTGGGCTTGTTGCTGTGTCACTGTGGAGGAGGTGGAAGCAGCCATGAATGCAAGGCCACACAGGTGGATGGAAGAGTTGTGGAATCAAAGACAGTTGTCTCAAGAGAAGATTCTCAAAGACCAGGTACCCACTTAACTGTGCAAAAGATATTTGCTGGTGACATTAAAGAAGACACTAAAGAACATCACCTAAGAGGTTATTTTTAACTGTATGGAAAAACTGAAGTGATGGAGATCACGACTCATCGAGGCAGTGGCAAGAAAAGGGGCTTTGACTTTGTAACCTTTGATGACCATGACTCCGTGGATAAAACTGTTATTCAGAAATACTATAATGTGAATGGCCACAACTGTGAAGTTATGAAAGCCTTGTCAAAGCAAGAGATGGCCAGTGCTTCATCCAGCCAAGAGGTTGAAGTGGTTCTGGAAATTGTGGTGGTGTTCGTGGAGGTGGTTTTGATGGGAATGACAACTTTGGTCATGATGGAAACTTCAACAGTCATGGTGGCTTTGGTGGCAGCCATGGTGACAGTGGATACGGTGGCAGTGGGGACGGCTACAATAGATTTGGTAATGATAGAAGCAATTCTGGATGTGGTGGAAGCTACAATGATTTTGACAGTTACAATAGTCAGTCTTCGAATTTTAAACCCATGAGGGGAGAAAACTTTGGTGGCAGAAGCTCTGGCTCCTATGGTGGTAGAGTTCAGTGCTTTACCAAACCACGAAATTAAAGTGATTATGCCAGTTCCAGTAGCAGCAGTAGCTATGGCAGTGTCAGAAGATTTTCATTACTGCCAGGAAACAAAGCTTAGCAGGAGAGGAGAAAAGTGGCAGGGAAGCTACAGGTTACAACAGTTTTGTGAACTCAGCCAAGCACAGTGGTGGCAGGGCCTAGCTGCTACAAAGAAGACATGTTTTAGACAAACACTCACGTATGTGGGCAAAAAGTTTGAGGACTGTGTTTGTGACTAATTGTGTAACAGGTTATTTTAGTTTCTGTTCTGTGGAAAGTGTAAAGCATTCCAACAAAGGGTTTTAATGTAGATTTTTTTTCTGCACCCATGCTGATTGCTAAATGTGGTAGTCTCATCATGACACTGAATAAATGTGTCTTTAAAAAAATAGTACAGAGTGTTGCCAATCCTGACCGCACGTTAGAATCATCGGGGATCTTATTGGTGTCCAAGATCATCCTGTAGCAAGTGAAACATCTTCTCAACTCAAAAAATCCTCATGTACAACCAATTAGGAACCATTACTAATGGTTCAGGGGATCAGACAGTGGGCTCTGAAGCCACACTGCTTGTACCCTAATAGCCATGTGACTATGGAGAAATTACTGAACTGCTCTCTCTCCTAATCTATGATGTTGTAGGGACTAAATGAATTAATAAATGTAAAGCTCTTAGAATACTGCTTGGCTCCTAGTAAGAGTTAAGTAAGTGTACTTGTTATTGTTGTTATTATAGTTATTGTGAGTCATTTGTAATCATAGGCATAGGACTTTCAAATATAAGTCACTTCCCTTTACTTAATTTTGGTAATTTCAGAGTAGTTGAAATGTTGATGTTTCGATGTTTTTATTATGTTCCTCTTCTACTCAAAAAATGCAGGAACTCTCATTCATTGTTTGTGGGAATGTCACTTTGGGGTATACCCACTTTGGAAAATGGCTTGGCAGCTTTTTAAAATAATGTTAAATATAGATATTTACTTAATAGGAATATTCCAAAGTCAGTTTTTTAGTTTTGACAAATGTACCATGGAATTCTAAGATGCTAACAACAGGACACACTGGATAAGGGGTATACCAGAATGCTCTGTACTATGTTTATAACTTTTCTGTAAATATAAAATTGTTCCTAAATAAAAAAGCTATTTAAAAAAACTTTTTAAGGAATAGGACTTCTACTTTCAGTCAGGATGAATAACAGCAATGGGGTAAACAAGATTTACCCAACTGTTATAAACAACAAGAAAACCAGATGAAATACAGTCATGTGCCACTTAATGGCTAAGATATATTCTAAAAAATGTGTCATTATGTGATTTCCTTGTTGTGCAAACATCACTGGGTGTTCTTACACAAACCTAGATGGTATAGCCTACTACACACCTAGGTTAGAAAGCGTAGTCTACTGCTCGTAGGCTGCAAGTCTGGAGAGCGTGTTACTGTACATGTACATGTAACAGGTACTGTACATATTACAACTGTAACACAATCAGACAACTGATACAAAATGTATTTGTTCATCTAAACATGTAAACATAGAAAAGGTATAGTAAAAACACAGTATTATAATCTTACAGGACCATCATTATACATGCAGTCTGTCAGACACATGTATACAAAATGTATTTGTGCATCTAAACATGTAAACATAGAAAAGGTATAGCAAAAACACAGTATTATAATCTTACGGGACCATCATTATAGATGTGGTCTGTCGCTGACCAAAACATCATTATGCTGTGCATGACTGTACATGAAACAATTATTTTCAGACATTAACAAAGGCAACTAGGACTACATTCCCTAAGAGAAACGAAGTAAGCCACATAATCTCCCTAGCCTTCTTCTTAGAGGCAAATTCTGGACTGCAGAACAGGAAGGAGATTCCAAAGTACAGAAGTCTCACTGAGTTATGGAGACATACATCAGAGTTCAGGGAACCTGAGGCAACTGGAAGTTGTCGGGTAAAGTTCTGAAGAAGAGAGAACTACCGCTACAAAAAAAAAAAAAAAAAACCCTCCAAAAATTTAAATAAGGAATCCCTTGGCCTTATTCATGGCTGAATTCTAAAACAAACACACATAAGAGAAACTCCAGCAGGGTGCAGTGGGTCATACCTGTAACCCCAGATACTTGGGAGGCTAAAGCAGGAGGATCATTGAGGCAAAGAATTCAAGACCAGCCTGAGCAATGTAATGAGACCCCCATCTCAAAAAATAATAGAACAAAAATAAGAGGAACTCCAGGCAAAAAGCAGCTGAAAATCAGTTAACTAAACAGTATGCAAAGCTCACACAGGGTTGAGAGACATTTAAGTTCTGAGCAAGTGTACCAAATCCTTGTTAATCATTTGAGGTATTCAAGAGAGATCCTAGAAAGTTCATGCCTTAGTAATAGGGCTAACCTACACACCTATTCTAACAAAGCATAAAAATAAGCCATAAAAGGATGAAAATAAACTGCAAATCACTGCATGCCAGAAAATAAAAAAAGACAATAAAATTTAGACTCTCAAAAATGCAAAATTTATAAGGTCCATCATCCAATCAAAAAGTATTAGATATGCCAAGATCAGGAAAACATGACCCATAACCAGGAAAAAAACCAGTCAGTACAAATAGAACCAGTATGACACAGATGACAGAATTAGCAAACAGGACATTAAAATAGCTATAATAACTATATTCAGCTATTTAAATGAAAATATGAACACTGTAAGAACCGCAAGATATAAAGAAGAACAAATGGAACTTCTAAAGATCATAAATACATTAACAGGCTGGGCACAGTGGCTCACTCCTATAATCCCAGAGCTTTGGGAGGCTGAGGCAGGAGGACCACTTGAGCCCAGGAGTTTGAGGTTACAGTGAGCCATGATTGCATCACTGCATTCCAGTGTGACTCCTGGAACCGTGTAAGACCCTGACTCAAACACATACACACACACACACACACACACACACACACACACACACACACACCCACCCACCCACCCCCCCCAGCCTGGGCAACATAGCAAGACCTCATGCCTATGAAAAAATTTTAAATTTTAGCTGGGCATAGTGGTGCATGCCTGTAGTTCTAGCTACTTGGGAGGCTGAGATGGGAGGATCCCTTGAGCCCAGGAGATCAAGGCTGCAATGAGCTATGATACTGCTCCTGCACTGCAGCCTGGGTGACAGAGTAACACCCTGTGTCTTACAATTAAAAAAAAAATCAATAACCAAAGAGAAAACTCGACTGAGTGGGGTTAGTATAGCACATTAGATGTTAAAGAAGAAAATATTACTGTTAACACTGAGAATACAATTTGTCCAAACTGAAACACATAGGAAATAAAAGACTGAAAAGGAAATGAAGAGTCTTAGTGACTTCAGGGCAATATTAAACAGTCAAACAAACATGTAAGAGTTCTATAAGCAAGGGCCAGGAACAGGGTATATAAATAAATATCTGGGCCAGGCACGGTGGCTCATGCCTGTAATCCCAGCATTTTGGGAGGCTGAGGAAGGCAGGTCATGAGGTCAGGAGTTCAAGAACCAAACCCTGTCTCTACTGAAAAACATAAAAATTAGCTGGACATGGTGGCTTGTGCCTGTAATCCCAGCTATTTGGGAGGCTGAGGTAGGAGAACTGCTTGAACCAGAAACAGGGAGGCAGAGGTTGCAGTGAGCCGAGATTGTGCCACTGCACTCCAGCTTGGGCTACAGAGCAAGACTCCATCAAATAAATAAACAAACAAACAATGTCAACAGTTTTCCAAATTTGATGAAAACTGTGAAGACACAACCCCAACAAGCTCAATGAACCTCAAAGGCAAGAAAGTGGAAAACCACAACAAGATACACCTAAATAAAATCCCTTAAAACTAGTGTAAAAATGAAAATTCTTCAAAGTAGCCCAAGGGACAAAAAGACACATTACAGACAAAGGAACAAATGTAACAACTGTAGATGTTTCTTCAGAAACTATGCAAGCCAGGAAATAATGAGTATCATGGAAGTGCTGATAGGAAAAAAAAAAACAAAAAAACTGGTCACTAAGAATTCTAATCCCAGGGGAAAAAATATTAAAAATAGAGACAAATATACAATTAAAAACTGTAAGACTTTTAGAGGGGAAAAAAGAAAAACATGAGAAAGTCTTTGGGACCTAGAGCTAGACAGAGAGTTTTTAGAATTGCCATTAAAAGCAGGACACATAAAAGCAAAAAAATGATAAACTAGACCTCATCAAAATACAAAACTTTTGCTCTGCAAAAGAACATAAAGAGGATAAAAAGACAAGCTATACACTGTGAGAAAATATTTGTAAACAACATATAAAACAGAAAGCTAGTTTATAAAGAACTCTTAAAACTGAGAAGTAAAAAATATATATCTATATAATCAGAACATGAGCAATAGACATGGACAATTTACCAAAGAAAATATGCAGATGGCAAGTATATGAGGAGATGTTCAATATCATTAGTCATCATAGAAATGCAAACGAAAATTACAATGTAATAAAAACCACACATCTATCAAAATGATCAAAATAACAAAGACAACACCAAATACCAGTAAGATATGCAGACACTGGAACATCACACATTACCAGGGGAAATGTAAAATGGGACGGCTAATCTGGTAAATTGGCAGTTTTTTACAAAACTAAAAATTCTGAGCAAAAGTGGTAGAGTAAGAACCTCCAAAAATTCTCTTCCATAAAAACAATGAGAAACTATCAGAAATGTCCAAATGCTACATGTTCAGAACTCTGGAAATGAACCAAAGGCTTGCAGTAATACAGGGAGCACTTATTCAAGGAAAAAAAAATGACTGAACATCAGTAACAACAGTGCATTGCAGGCTTCATGGCATTTTCACTTGCTCTAGTCCTAACCCCACTCTCTTGCTCTGCAGAAACCCAAAAAACCAACAGCCCACTATCAAGGAGAAAAGCAGTAGCGAGGGGGTAGGACCACATTAGAGTGCTTTCAAAACTTCATTCTCAGAGAACTGCCAAAGATTTGTCTCATGGTTCCCTGCAAGACCCACTCGCAAGGCTGTCTTTATTCAATCTGACTGGGAGCTTGCCCAGTGCAAAAACCATCGTAAACTGAAACAAATTATAGGCAATTGTTTAACTTCACAGCTGCCTGAAAACAGTTGGAACCCACAACTGACAAACCAGAAACTAAAAGGAAAAGCTTTCAAAATGTGGAAACAACCCAAATGTCCATCAAATGATGAACAGATAAACCAGAAGTCATATATCTATTCAGCCATAAAAAAGGAATGGATTCTGATACCTGCTACAACATGAATAAACTCTGAAAACATTATGTTAATGCAGCCAGACACAAAAGGCTATATATTCCATTTATATAAAATATTCCATTTATAGAAAACATCCAGAAATAGGCATATCCATTGAGACAGAAAGTAGATTAGTGATTACCAGGGATTAGGGGAAAGTGTATATTTTCTCTTGCTCTTTGGTTTGCTTGCTGATGGAAGCCAGTAGCTATTTTGTGAAATATCCCGTAGAAAGGCCAAGTGGCAAGGAACAGAGGAAGTGCTCTAGCCGACAGCAAGCAAGGAATGGAGTCCTTCAGTTCAACAGCCTACAAGGAATTGAACCTGCCAATAACCACATGAATGAACAAAGAAGAAGATCCTTCTTCAGCTGAGTCGTCAGATGAGACTGCAGTCCTGGCCAACAACCTTGATTGCAGCTTTATATAATACCTGGAGGCAAAGGCACCCAGCTAAGTGAGGCCTAGATTCTGAGGACTCAGAAAATATAAGGTATTGAAGGTTTATTCTTTTACAGCACTACATTTGGGGTTAAGTTGTTAAGCAGCAATGGATAATCAACAAAGATGAATATCTGCTTAACACAATAGACTACAGATACCTTAACTATAAAGCCAGCATCTTTCTTAATGGGGAAACCCTAGAGGCATTCCCAGAAGGTCAGAAAGAAGAGAAGGATACCCATTTTCTCCAGGATACTTTCACATATTCTGGAGGAACTAACAAATGCAATAAGACTAGAGAAAGTAATTAAAGGGATAACAGTTGGAAAAGAAAAAGTAACATTATCTGTATTTTCCAACGTAAGAGTATATCACGAAAATTAATTGAAACAATAAAGATTTCAGCAAAATAGCAGGATATAAAGTTAACATGCAAAAATAAATATTGTTCATTTATACAAAACATAACCAGTTAGAAGTTTAACACACGACAAAATTCATTTACAATATTAAAAAAAACCAAAGATTGAATACTTAGTAACAGACTTTAGAAATTTTCAAAACCTAAAGAAAACTATAAAATACCTAAAGGATGCAAAAGTAGACTAAAAAGATGGAAAGACATCCTTGTTCTTAGAAATACATACTTAAGTATTTTGAGGCAAAGAAAAAGCCATGATGTATGTAACTAACTCTCAAAAACTTCAGAAAAAAATAAATATACAAAAGAATGAAAGTAAAAACCTGATAAAGCAAGTTTTGGGATCAAACACCACCAAAAGTGTTTAAATGCAATCTAATCAAGAGGAAACCAGTAAACTCAGACATCTACTTTTAAAAGACATTGTTTTTGAAAACTAACATAAACATGAACTGTGTATTAAATTATATTGAATTAATATTACTTTCCTTAGGTGTGAGAATGACATTATGTCTGTAATTTACTTTCAAATCATTCAGCTTGGTGTGGGGGGCGGGGGCAGAGGGAGACAAGACAGGTAGAAAAGGGAAAGAGAAAGCAAATGTGGAAAAATGTCAAAATTGGTTAAATTTAGGTGAAGGGTATACAGGTGTTCTTTCTATGTTTTTAACTTTCTTGTTAGTTTGAAATTTTTCAAAATAAAAGGATGGAACAAAGGAAATGACGGATGGGGGGGATAAAAGGCTAGCTTTCCTTCCTTGACCTCTTGAAAACCATGCCAAATAACAAAGGGCACAAGAAATAGCAATGCAAACCCTCCTGCAAAAAATTAGGAGGCAGCTGGGCAGAGAGAGAGATACAAGATATCTAAATTTATCTTCTTTAGTGGTAAGTTAATGGATAATTAACACTGGTGCATTAAAAAAACAAAGGCGTCAACACAGTATTCAGCATTTGGAGGTAATCATAAAAAAATCTAAAATGAAGTGTGGATGATACAGAAAAAAAGACTTTTACTGTATATTTTAAACATTTTATACTATCTGTTCATATCAACTATCACATGTAGTAGTAGTAATAACAACAGATTTTCCCAATTACATGGACTATCCAGAAAGATTCTGTGACAAAAGAAAAGGCATTTCTCATCACCTTCACTACCTTGAAGTGCAATATTTAAAATACAATATTAAATGATTAAATACTTTAAAATACTACTGGGTTTAGTAGAACCACAGGTCTACCTACATGAATACCATGATCATGATACCAAAAAATAACAAAACATTAAGATGACATATCCTATTATTTCAAATAACTTAGAATTATTTTCATTCTTGTTTTTAAAAAATTTGAATAAACAGACTCACAGTTCCACAAGGTTTGGAAGCTTCTGAGCAAGGTTTTCTGGCTGAAAATTAAAAACTCAGAATTAAATTTTATTTTTGAAAAATGTCTAAACATTTCTAATTTGTTTAAATACAAAGTACTATCTTTTTGAGGGGTGTAAATTTTGAGAAATGTTAAAATAATCAGCAGGTCTGGGTTTTATTCTTATAGAGACCATACTGCAATTTAAATTTATAAATTTGAACACTTAAATATAATGTCCCTTAGAGCAGTGGTCCCCAACCTTTTTGCTTCCAGGGACTGGTTTCATGGAAGACAATTTTTCCACAGATGGGGTTGTGGGGGCGGGGGGGGGGGGGCGGTTTCGGGATGATTCAAGCGCATTACATTTATTGTGCACTTTATTTCTATTGTTATTACATTGTAAAACATAATGAAATAATTACACAACTCACCGTAATGAAGAATCAGTGGGAGCCCTGAGCTTGTTTTCCCGAAACTAGACAGTCCCATCTTGGGGTGATGGGAGACTGTGAGATTGTCAGGCATTAGATTCTCGTAACGAGTGCACAACCTAGATCCCTCGCATGTGCAGTTCACAACAGGGTTTGTGCTAAGAGAATTTAATGCTGCTGCTGATGGGACAGGAGGCGGCATTCAGGCAGTAATGAAAGGGACTGGGAGCCGCTATAAATACACAGTTTGCCTACCACTCACCTCCTGCTGTGTGGCCCCATTCCTAACAGGCACCAGGTCTGTGAACCAGGGATTGGGGACCCCTGCCTTAGAGAAACACAGACCTCAAAATCCATTATCATGGAAGAAATAAAAATGTGCTTCACAGACACAGACAGAAGGAAGAACACCATGTGCTGATGCAGCTAGAGACTGAAGTGACACCTGAGGAGCCCTGAGAAGGAACCAACCCAAACCACACCTTGATTGTGAACTTTTTGCTTCAAGAACTGTGAGAGAATACACTTTTGTTGTTTTAAGACACCCAGTTTTTGATAATTTGTCATGGCAGCCCTAAGAGACTAATATATCCTCCAAACTCCTAAATCATGCTCCTCAAGGGAAAGTAAGGGAAAACCGCAGGGCCCTCAGGTGCCCAGACCTGACTAAGCTCCAAATTAACGGGGGAAGCTAGAGCTCATGTGGTCCAAGGGAGTGTCAGACCTGGCCACAGGTCCAGAGATCAGAGATGAGGTGTGATGTGGGAGGTACAGGAAATTGGCTATGGGCAGAAGACAGAAAAACAGACAAACCTAGGTCTCTTACTCAGAAAAAGTCGGAGCCCTGAAAGGGCTGGCCTTTCCATGAAAAGTATCCTAGAACAATTCTACACACAGGTTGAAAGCAGGCTTCTCTCTGCTGGAGGTACTGGGTATGGGAGAAAGCCTCCTGTAAATAACTGAAAACCAGACTGCAGACACATACACACACCCACATATGTACATATGCATATATATAATCTTTCTCTCTCTCTCGCTCGCGTGCTGTCACACACACACACACACACACACACACAGACACGGGGTTCAAATTTACACACGCAAAAAGATATGAGTCTAAAGACTGAAGGAGCACACTGGGTCAAACCTAATTTTTTTCATCTACATTCAAGCATACTGTAGGGTAAACTGTATATAAATAACAATGAATCAGGAATGGCTTTTTATAAGACATTAGGTCTGACCCAAGTTCCAAAAGACATAAACTGTAAGAGGCTGACATGGAATGGAGAGGAGGGTAGTGCTGGATAGCTTTTTAGGCACAAGAAGCAACATATGAAAAGCCAAAAGAGAACAAGGAACAATTGGGAAACTGCAAACACAATCCATTCTGCTATAACTCCATAACAGCACTCCTGAAGAAATCTTACATTTTCAATAATCCTGTTAGAAAAACAATCATGTCCATAGGAAAAATTAAGTGTTAGGGACTAGAAAGTAGACTACTTTAAATAATCAAGAAATTTTTCATACAGAAACTTAAATTTTTAACAATGAACACGTATCTTTTACAACTGAAAAAAATTAAAATTGAATTTTAAAATATGGTGTGTATAGTATAGCTGTTATACAATTGATTAATCAATTATATACAATTTGAGATCTAAACACTCACTAGGACAAATGACCTTAGTTTGGTATGTCTGGGTCATTGGGTATGAAGATGTATGATTTTACATAGAATGGCAAGGAACAGATCACTAAGGACTCATATTTTATACTAAGGAATAGCTTTTAAAAAATCCTGAACACAATGGAAATTCACTGGTTTATTTTAAACCAGAAAATGTCATTATTAATGTCATACTGCCATACTGGTGTATTTAAATACTTAGTAACAGTATCTCCAATAGCTTATACACACATATCCTTATCCATTTGTGATAACTAAGTATCACTGAATATGAATATTGTTATGAAGTCAGTGAAGCATTTCTGAGTACCCACTCTTGACAGTACCACTTCTATTTCGTGTTCAAACGCTGAAAGCTATGATTCTTTTTGCACCATGTTTCGATACTGATACATGTAAGGAGGTCCTTCAAAACAAGTCATTTCTCAGATGTTCCTGTGGATCTGTCTAAATCCCTGGAGGGTTTTGATTTTAGTATCAGTATCTCCCTTGAGAATATACACTTCCATTTATGGGCATACACACAAAGCATCCTAGGGAAACTAGGGAACCAGTGGGTGGAAGGCCTTAACTATAACTGTTCCTATAAAAAGGAAAGATTTTTCCAAAAAGTAATGCTGTTTAACTGTTAGACCTTCACCTATTTTCACTGGCTCATATCAATACTGTATCTGGCTAACTCACACACTCCACGGCCTTCCTTTCTGGATGTCCACTTGGCTCATCAAATAGCATTCTAATCTTTCCATGACAAACTAGTTAGCTCTTTTCAGCTGTAGCTATATACACAATTAAGCACTGAAATAATGCTTCTGCTGCCAGTAGTGCGTCTCCATGTCTTTATTAACAAGTAGGTGTATTGGGTTTTTATTTAAAAATAAGCACATTCACTTTGAGAAAATTGCAGTTCATTAGAATAATGCCTTAAAACACATACATACTTAGGTAGAGATGTCCAAAATGCCTGGCAAATAATCAGCCCTTGCACAGGCTGTGACTGACACCTAGTGGTGTTCCATAATATCACTTTGCTTTCTAATACTGTATTTTTAGCAATGTAGCTGAGAAATGCTATACGTTTTAATTTTCATACTTCTATAATTTAGGTACAGCATGTAACAGATTAGACAACAAGAAATTAATGTCAGAATTTTTGTTACTTTGTGGGTAACTAAGCTCTAATGTTGGATTATGGAAGTCACACAAACTAGCGTATCCTAATCCATAGAATTTACAAGCTATTAAGCTTTTTAATGTTTTTAAATTTGAAATCCTGATAAAAGCAATAGTCTTAAAGTACTTTTCTAATCTATTACTGTTATTTCCTTTTTTCACAATTTGAAACAGAAAAGTTTTATCAGATAAACAACATGTACTGAAATACTTCCCACTAAATTACATAAAAACTGTTTTTCTAAATCAAGCCCAGGATTCTCTTCATTAAATCTCATTTATATTATTATCTAACAACTTTTCTTTACAATAATGAAAAAGTAAACTTCAACAAGCATAGTTAGTATAAAACTTACCCTAAATTTTGAATCAATGATGCTTTACCATGTTCTTTTAGACTCCACTTAAATGGGAATGTTTTAAAATTTTGTATCTCGGAACAAATACTTCAAGTATGTTGCAAACACCACCACGTTCAGTGCTGTTTTCTGGTGGGCACTGTACAGTGCCTACTTCCTTTCCCTCTCTTTCTGAACACCTGCTAGGACTGCACATCTTTCATAAAGCTGGCCATGGCTAAGGGCTTTGCTTTGGTCAGTGAAATTAAGCCAAAGTGGAAGCCTTGACAAGATTGAGCTCAAAAGACCTCACCCCTCCCACGGTGACCACCAGATGGTGGACGTTTTGTTAGGCTTCATCCCTGAGCAGAGGCCCCAAGCTCTCAGAGGCTATACAGTGTAGACAAGAAATATGCACGCTGTTATAAGCCACGGGGACTTGGAGTTTGGCAAAACCTGCTCCATCCTGGCTTCTAACAACACATTTCAGAGTCAAAAAGTAAATGCATTTGGGTTCTTACAGCAATTGTAAAAAGTATAAGAAAGCAGAATGAATTTGGACCACTATCTCATACCATACACAAAATTAACTCAAAATGGATCAACAACTTAAATTTAAGAGCTAAAACCATACTTCATAGAAGAAAACATAAATTTCCATAATCTTAGATTTGGCAATGAATTGATAGACATTACACCAAAAGCATGAGCAACAATAGAAAAAACAGATACACAGGCTGGGTGCAGTGGCTCAAGCCTGTAATCCCAGCACTTTGGGAGGCCAAGGTGGGTGGATCATTTGAAGTCAGGAGTTCAAGACCAGCCTGACCAACATAGTCAAACCTCATTTCTACTAAAAATACCAAAAAAATTAGCTGGACGTGGTGGCGTGCACCTGTAATCCCAGTTACTCAGGAGGCTGAGGCAGGAGAATCACTTGAACCTGGGAAGCAAAGATTGCAGTGAGCCAAGATCGCACCACTGCACTCCAGCCTGGCAACAGAGTGAAACGCCACCTCCAAAAAAAAAAAAAAGTAGATACACTGAATGTCATCAAATATTAAAAACTTGTGTGCATTACAGGACATTACAAGAAAGTAAACGACAACCTACAGAATGGGAGAAAATATTTACAAATCATATATGTGGTAAGGGTCTAGCATCCAGACTATAAAAAGAATCCTTACAATTCAACAACAAAAAGACAACTGAATTAAAAAATGGGCAAAGGATCTGAATAGACATTTCTCCCAAGACAATATGCAAATGGCCAACAAGCACATGTAAAGATGTCCAACATCATTAGCATCAGGGAAATGCAAATCAAAACCACAATGAGATGGCACTTCATACCCACTAGGACAGCTGTAACACTAACAAAAAAACAGAAAATAACAAGTGT